CAAATACCTGAGGATACAGTCCACTCAGTGGTCCAAAGGAAAAGCAGAAGGAAATGGTGACAAAACATTAATTCTACATGTAGTCTAGTGACTACAAAAAAAAGTAGGCATCCGGAATTGTGGCTTCTGACTCTGCCAGCTTTGCCAGATTAAGCCTTTGTAGAAAGGCAAAATTTGCCTTCTATTTAGAAATTTATTTTTTAAATTGATCTTTAAATATTTGTATTTACTAGCATTTTTATAATCCTTTGCAGTTTATAAAGAACCTCCACATGCATATTTTTTTAGTGAGTTTTATTGAAAATAGGGGCTGACTTCTTGATGAAGAAATTAATAGTAACACCAGTTGCTGAGGTAATAATGATTTTACCCAAGGACAAGGCTTATTGCCTAATCCGAATCCAGTTGGAGTTTCCTCTAACAACAAAGTTTTATCAGTCTCGGGGAAGTAATGTCCCTCGGTTGTTTTGGTCTTTTCTTTCGATTCAAATGTTGCTCTCAGGTCCACCAATCATAGAGGACATCCTCTAAAGTGCAGTGTAATGACAGACAGTTGGTTTGTGGTTAGATAATAACGCCTACTTGTGAAAACCTACAAGGCAGCCACACCTCTTGAAGGCAAAGTGCATCTTTTAAAGGCAGTACTTCCGCCTTTGCAGTGACTTTTCATTGGTTAGAAGAGAACTGTATAAAAAAAAAAAACCCTGAGCTTTTGACTTTACTCTCATTTCCTGTTCAGCCTGGTATTTCAAGATTAGCTTCTTCTGAGTAGAAGTTTGGCAACTTGATATTACCAAAGGCATCGTCTTCGGTAATCTAGCAGGAAAAAGGCAGGCTTTGGTGTAGCAGATCCAATGTCTAATACCAGCTTTGCAAATACTTACATAATGTGTGGCATTAAGTCACTTCATTCTGAGCTTCAGTTTCTATATGTATAAAATGGAGATGATGATATTTTCATTTAGAGTTTTAGTAAAGGTCAGAGATGTAAGTGCCTAGCATACTGCCCAGCACATTAAGTTCTCAAATGGTAACCTTTGTCATTATTGTATTCTGATTTTAATGAGAAAATGAATGAATGAATGAAGCCAGTCTTCAGTTGTAGCTTTGATTCTCTTCCCCTTTGGGAGAACCTGATGAAGGCACTACATCCTCTCCTCAGAAAATATTTGCCAATAATATCAGGGGATGTATATGGATCTCAGAAGCTCATGTGAACCCTAAGTTAACGTATCCTGAGCTATAGGCTCCACTGGGTACCTCTATATACCTCTTTAGAGCTCCTAAACCAAAAGTGGGCCATATATGAGACTTCTAAGAAGCCTGTATTTATTTATAAGGCTGATAAAAAGCCCATTGAAGTTGGTGGGTTTGAATCCAGTCTTGACCTGTCAAATAACAATGACTGACAGCTGCAACCAAAAAATAGCCAGGTGGGTACCTGTAGTCCCAGCTACTTGGGAGGCAGAGGCAGGAGAATCGTTTGAGCCCAGGATTTGGAGGTTGCTGTGAGCTGTGATGCAATGGCACTCTACTCAGGGGAACAGTTTGAGGCTGTCTCAAAAAAAAGAATCCCATTGAAAAAACTGGCTAGATACTTCATCAATAACATTTCCTGATCTATGGTAAGTAAAGAATATCACTTTTCGGGCTGCGCTTGTGGCTTAACGGGTGGGGTACCGGCCCCATATACCGAGGGTGGTGGGTTTGAGCCCAGCCCCAACCAAACTGCAACAAGAAAATAGTCAGGCATTCTGGCAGACACCTGTAGTCCCACCTCGGGAGGCTGAGGCAAGAGAATCACCTGGGTCTGGGAGTTGGAGGTTGCTGTGAGCTGTGTGATGCTGCCACAGCACTCTACCGAGGGCGATAAGATGAAAACTCTGTCTCTACAAAATAAAAGTGTCACTTTTCAATACCTCCAGGAATTCCAAGCTATTTTGGGTCCTTGTAAAAAGAAGAATTTACCCAATGCATACACGTATCTCACAGGGTAGCCAAATTTTTGGCTTCCTTTGAGAGGCTTTTAAGTCTAACCTGAGACTCCTTATGAAAATTCCAGCAAAGCTGGTGTTTTGTTTTTGTTTTGTTTTGAGAGAGAATCTCACTCTCAGCCCTGGATAGAGAAAGCCATGGCATCATTGTAGTTCACAGCAACCTCAAACTCTTGGAGATCCTCTTGCCTCACCCTCCCAAGCAGATGAAATTACAGGCACCTGCCACGAAGGCCGCTAGTTTTTCTATTTTTAGTAGAGATGGTGTCTTACTCTTGCTCAGGCTGGTTGCAAAGCTGGTTTTATTTTTATTTATTTATTTGAGACAGAGTCTCACTTTATCCCCTCAGTAGAGTGCCATAGTGTCATAGCTTACAGCAACCTCAAATTCTTGGGCTCAAGTATTTATCTTACCTCAGCCTCTCAAGTAGCTGGGAC